TCCCCTGAATCGATACTTCAAATATACAAATCAACCATTTGCCCTTGCATGGAGTATTGCTGTCATATATGGGTTGGAGCACCTTCTGCTTACCTCGGAGTTCTTGACAAGATCCAGAGACGGATATGTAATCTAATTGGCCCTGATGTAGCGTCTCGTCTGCAGTCACTCTCTCACAGACACGCCGTCGCCTCTCTCTGTCTTTTCTACAAATACTTCCATGGTAATTGCTCCGATGAGCTGCTTTCACTGGTTCCCAGACTCCATGAATTCAAGCGCCCTACGAGGCTGGCATCCCGCTCCCACCCTTACACCGTAGGAACTTTCAAATGTAGCCGTCTCTTCTACTCCGATAGCACCCTCCCCAATTACTGTTTCCCTGAAAGCTTAAAAAAAAAAATTCCTCTCGATGTATAATCGTAACCTAGGGTTTTGTTTGTATTTTCGCCTCCTACCCCCTACATATAAATAATTCCATGAATAAGAATATAATTTTAGTCTGATGAAGTCCTTTTGAAGACCGAAATGCGTTTCATAGAACTTTTACGATTTTGTCAATCCCCACCATTAATCTGATATATAGAGTTTATATATCATATATCTCCCATTCATACATTTTTTTTATTATTTCACCCCAAACAAGGCAATAAAGCCACTAAGACAAAAGGAGTTATTAAGTGTGAAAGAATAAAAAAATAGAAACATTATTAAATAGAGAGCATAATAAAAGAAGAGGAATCCAGAATACAGTAGATAACGATTGGCATTGCATTTAAATTAATCTGCGAAAAAGCGAACCCTACCGAAGTAGGCTGGAATTTGATATACCAATTCTGCTTTCCGTGCCAAAAATAGGTAGATATAATGCACCCTCTTCCAAAATAAGAAGTTCGATCGCCGTCGACAGAAAAATGATCAAATTTCAAATCTAAATTTTTCATTTAAAATACATTTATTAGAAAATATATTCAGTTTGAATATAGGAGTAATCTTTTCCTGTTACCCATGGGTTGTTGCTAGACAAAAAGGGAAATTAACCTTCGCGACTCAGATACCCGTTTCTATTTCATTCAAATTTTGTGTGCATGCACGTTTGCGTGTAGGCATGTGTATTTTAATGCAAGGACAGATCTAATATATTTCTACCTTTAAAAAAAAAAAAACTTTTAAAATTTATGTTTTATTACTTTTGTGACTTACGGTTACTGCTAATAATTTAGTATAACACAAGACTTCAATGTTAAGATAAAACAGTATTTAATGACAACCGCAAATAAATACTTAACAAGAACAAAGAAGTAAAAGTCAACCAGAGATAATTAACCATTTCAGCGAATACCTTGTTTAGTAGCGCGGCTCGGCTTAACGTCCCGCAAATCCTAAATCAAAATCAAAATCATCGACGCACAATAATTCACACTAATTCGACTGGATAGTTCCACTCTATATAATCACTGCAGTCAGTAGCCTGACACCGCTATTTATACAGCTGGGGGAAAAACATATATTCAAGTCCAGAATATCATGATCGAACCTCGGGGCCAGTAGTTACTCATTTTCTTCCTATATGACAATTACCGAATAATTTCTCAAAACTTCAATAGAATCTTATAATTATCTTTTATTTTTAGGGTTTTAATATTTTTATCCAATTATATTTTTATTTCCAGTCCCGAATTGGAGTTGTCCAGACAGGCCTTTTTAATATTCTCTCACTAATGACGGGATTGGCCCAGCTTGTAGAAGCAATGGCAGTTCTCCTGATATTCACGCATATGTAAGACAGAACAAGAGTAGCAGTTCCAGTGTGGTCATAGATAACTTTATCAAGCATTTTACGTGGAACTGTTTGTATGTGTGTGCATTAGATAACAGAAACATATATATGTTGCTCACGCACAGTACAAACATACGCATATACACTGCAAGCAAAGTCACGTGACGACAGTATGCAACCGACCGAAAATCTGTTCTTTTTTTACAGATTTGGCACATTCACCTCAATGATATCAATGATGCAATCCACTGACCATTCGTTTCGCCTTTCGCTTTTCCTTCCTTGAGGACACATGGCACAGTGGATAAAGGCGTTGGTTAGATCCAGTGACAGGGCCCAAAGAGTGTGAGTTCAATACCCGATTAAGGCAATGGAGAACTTGCAGAGGGGAATTAACAGGAGATAACTGAGATCCATTAGACATGGCACGTGTGCAACTAGAACAGTCTACCCCAGTGAGCGAAATAAAGGTTTCAGTTCGACATTCCAACCACCTGAAGAAGGGCGGAGCATACAACGGCCGAAACGTTGTAATAAATATGGCGACAAAGATGAGGACAATAGTCCGAATAATGTAAATAGTGTACATAATGTTACGGTTTTTTGGGTATATAGCGTATAACTAGTGAGCGAGTCAGAATGACTTATTTCCCTTTATAGTCGACCAATAGAAGGTTGACCAATCAGAAGCCGCCCAACACTGTATTCATAGTGTATAAAGGCGGCCATCTTGTTTTCCTCCTACCGGAAGGACCAAAGGCGACCAGGAGAAGGATGAACTACACTCTGCTGTGATATCCACTGCGAACCTCCACTACGCTTTCCTACTGTCTCCGAAATATTCACTGCCAACCTCTAGGACGACCGTCATGAAAATGTCTAACACATAATACCTCATCTCAGATATATACACATGATATATACTGAGGAAAGAGAAAATTTAACACTCACGGGACATATTAACAGCAAGACGGGCAGAGGAAAATGGTGTATAACCAACCTAGTGAGAAGGTCTAAATAGTTACCAGAACGGTGACAAGGAGAAAAATAAAAAGACAAACACTGCTAAGCGCTACAAAGGACAGGAAGTTGTGGAGAGCCTCATCGGACACGACTTGAAGGAACAAGGTACATAGAAGAAGAATATTCGGCAATATATATGCTAATATTACCATTTCTAAAAATGTCATTATTAATATTACTCTTAGAGATGAGGAGAACAGATATTACACTTTGATCCCAACGACGTGAATAAACGCGAAACTCGAGTAGCACTGGCTGCACATCACAGTCTAAATATCTGCAGATCTAAACAACTGCAAAGCACTGTCTAAACAAGATGTAGGTTTGTCAAAATAAAAAAAGAAGTTACTTAGCATAACTAAATAAGAGTGATACAGAGAGTTTTCATGCATTTTTTTTCTATTTACTTAGAAGAAAAATGTCGAGATGTTATTTGATAAATATGCAGCTAATAATGGCGGAGAGTAAAATGAAAGCCAATCGTTCAGCCTGCCCGATGTCACAACCACCTCCGTTGTCCCCTGTTAAAGAAACAATATTTGTGAATCCATTTTTCTTTTTCTTTTACCTGATTGTCTATTCTGCGCTAACCAATGAAAAGAAATCATATGAAGAAGAAACTTATAGCATGATACACAACATCATGGCAAACAGATTCGAAATTCTTCGAAATATTGGATTTGGATCGAATTTATTATCATACAACCGAATAAAGTTTCTTTTTCCATGATCAGCGATTTCGTATCGGATTGGTGACAAGTTAGGTAACGTGATAAGTGAATCAAGTTTCCATAAAAGAAACAAAACTCAATTGCTAAATAAATCGTTTAATAGTCAAATGTAAGCAACTTTATATATATATATATATATATATATATATATAGCGAGAGAGAGAGAGAAATATTGTTTTAAGATGTGCTATATTTATGGGATAAAGTGCTCAATACCAAAGCTAGAGCGTATGTAAATATAAAAGTGAACATTGAAGTCAACACTCAGAGGCGACAGGCTGTTTCATGCGAGACGCAATCGGTGGTCTGACGACTGCGTCTAGCATGAAAAAAAAACCGTCGCTTCTGAGTGTTAACTTCAATGTTCACTTTTAAATTAGTTAAGGTATTATATCGAGAACATGTCAAAATCGATACACAATTGCAGTCGTGTTTCGATGCATGTCAATGCATCTCATCAGGCGATTGTAAATTACTTCCAAGTGAACGATTTATTTAGATTTAAAAACAAAATAAAATCTCTTTTACAAAAGAAAAAGAAAAAAGTGGGGGTTATAAGGCTTGTGGGCTTTACTCAGATCAACCAATCGTTAAATTTAAATTAAGCCTTTTTTTTTTTAGAAACAAAAGCATACTTGATGGTCAGACATTGTCGGGAATTTTGAATTTGTTCATGGTATTATCAACGAGAAACCCGGATAAACAGTGTGGGCCATTATCAATAAGCTCCATGTGTTGGATGAACAATCAGGCGTCTAGTGCTCGAAAATATTAAATATATTCATCTTGCACATTTATAAATCTACCATTCATCCTTGCATCGAATATTGATACCATATCTGATCTTGTCTGGTGCGTCGACTATATATCTCGAGAATATGGACAAAATCCAAAGAAGGGTCTGTAATGTTATCGGTCCTGACCTGACATCTCGTCTTAAGTCACTTTTCCATCCCCGTGAAATGGTTTACCTCTGTCTTTTCTATAAATATTTTTATGGAAGTTGTTCTAATGAGCTTTCCTCTTTGGTACCTCAACCGCAGAATTTGAAGCATACTGCTGGATTGGCAACTAGGTCTCATAGTTTGGCTGTTTAAATAGATACACATAGCCGTACGTTCTATTCTAATCATTTCTAACACCTGTAAAGAATCCTCTTCTGTTTCTTTCTTCCCTGCTATCTACAATCATTAAAAAATTAAAAATCTAACTCCAACTTCAGTCGCCATTTTGTGTTTTCCCGAACCATGTTTTTTCGTTGACCTTTCTCTTCACTAAAGTCTTCTCATTCTCTTCCACTCCCTATAATCGCTTGCGTCTTAGTGGCATTATCGCCTTGGTTGGTGTGAAATGATTTTAAAAAATCTTCCGTTATGGAGAACGCGTAGTTTATGACCACTAGTTCCCGAGAGAACAGTGTGATCCGGTCGATGTCCTTATTAAACAAAATCGGCTTACTGTCACATCGTATAGAAACACCGGATCTCATACAATCACCGTAGTTAAGCAACTTCGAACCTGGTCAGTACCTAGATGGGTGACTGATTGGTAATACCAGGTGCTGTAATTTGAGATATGCAGGTGATTTAATGCATAGTGGCTCGGAAATGTTAATCGGAGAGCCAAGTTTCAATTCCAGTTGGTTTCTTTATATTCGCTTGCTCGCAAGTACCCTTGGGAAGGGTATGAATCCAACTCTCCTCTTCCCATCTATGGGTTAATCAGTAAGAATTATCTCACTAAAACTATTATTACCTCAAAAAATCTTACAATCTAAAAATGTTTTCTACCTTTAAATAACCTGCAAACGGCTGATAAGACAAATCAATCAATAAACAAATTCATATTAGCCCTAATTTTTGGCCTTACCTCTCTTGATTTCTGGTGAGAATACAATGGACGGAATATTTGAACAACAACAAAGTTCTAGAGAAAATGGAAACAAAATGGACATATAAGAAAGACGTATTATATATTTGGTTTGGTTTGGTTTATTTTGTTTTACGGCATATCAACCTCAATGGGTTATTTAATGCCGACAAAATTTTTAGGGTAGATTCGTATGAATAGAGTATGTATTCTTTGGTTTAGATTGGTTTGGTTTATTTTGTTTTACGGGATATCAACCTCATATGGGTTATTTAATGCCGACAAAATTTTTTTATTGCTGGTAATAATTTGTTTTGTCAAAAATCTGTTTCTGGTAATATATTTTCTTCAAAATTGTAGTGCTGGCAATATTTTTTTTTCAAAAAAGTATTGCTGGTAATAGTTAACTCTTTGCCCATAGCTGGGACCCTAACAGGTGCTACCATCCCGGTTCAAGGTGGACCTGGGAACACCACCAATTAAGAGGTGGTTTCACGTTCCTCAAAACCTCCTGATCAGAGGCGTTGCTGCTGGACATAGCTTAACGTCTTACCCAGGACGCGGATGTAGTTTAACGTCTTACCAAGGACGCTATATATAAGGATGTTTCCTTAAGACGGATCAAAGTCAGCAGTAAATAAATCAGTGTCATTGGTGAAAAATTATTTATTTCTCTATTGGATCATGTTATTAAAGTCATGGCAATTATATATGAAAAATAATATTGCCCAAATGTCCGCCAAATCTGAAAGAAAAAGAAAATAATCATTAGACGACGCTTAAACTTAATTCAAATTTAAAGTCGGCCCAAGTTATTGGAACAGCCTTTACTTAGAATCAAAAAGGGATAGTTGAAATTTCTCGTGAACATAATGAGGAAAGAGGGTCAGAGGAAAACAACTCATGACCTACCTAACGAACTTGTGGCGGAGCAAGAAAGATAACAAAAAGACAAATTTTTTAAAAGCTAGAAAGGACGGGACACTGTGGAGAGACGTTATCGCCAAAGCCCTGGAAAGACACAGCACGTAGAAGTAGGACATAGAAAGTCATCTTCTATTTATTTTCCTTTCTAGGTATATCTGCAACCCATTATTTCGCCGTTTCTACTTTGGGAATTTGGTAAAGTGATGTGGTTCTGTCATTTGGTGAAATTCTTTATGACTTTGTGGCGACAGTCTATAAGATCTGATGAAGTATTGTATCCTTTAAGAACTAAATGATTCATTCACTTGAAGCCATTTTTATTCATTGATCTGAGAAATCAGTTGTATGGAGTTGAGAGCTGAGACATTTGTCATGTGAAAGTCTCAGTCTAACGAGGCTATTTAAAATTGTCTGCCATCAGCATGGCCGATGGCTAGACTCAAAGGGAGCAACACACTACGCCTTCTTGGCGTCACGTTTTCCACTGACTTGAAGATGAGCGACTATATCGAATCTATAACTTCATCTACTACAAGTAAAATTGGGTCACTTTGTCGCGCTAAAAAAACTTTTCAACTCGGAATACATCTTTCACATTTGCAAATCTACCATTCATCTGTGCTTTGAATAATATTGCCATATCTGATCTGGTACTTCTGCTGTAATGTAATCGATCCTGACCTGACTTCACGATTTCAGTCATTTTCTCACCGCCGACGTGGCGTGGCTTCCTTCTGTCTTTTCTACAAATATTTCCATGGCTACTGCTCTGACCAGCTTTTTTCCCCTGGTGCCCCGACTACATGAATTTAAGCGTGCTACTAGATTGGCAATTAGGTCCCACCGTTTTGCTATTGAAACAGTTAATGCAACAGCCACTTCTATACCAACACTTTGTTTTCTCGCGCTTTTCTTCAGTTTCCTTCACCCCTGATAACTACAATCTTCAAAATTTTAAATGCAACGTCCATCGCCATCTTGCCTTCTTGAATCCCGTTCATCTTTTGTCCTTTCCTGAATCCTCCCTATAATCAGTCTTCTCTTTCACTTTTACTCCCTGTAATTCTCTGCATACTAGTGGCATTACTGTTTTGCTTCAAGTGAAATGATTAAATAATAATAATAATGTGTATAATGTAGAATTTATTAAATGCTAAAATCCTTTGTGTTTCTCTATGGCCGATCTAAATGAAGTCTTAATGAAATCTTGCCTTTTTTAAAGGCCTACAGGTATTCAATTCATCAAGGTATTTAACAATGTTTCATTTAATACGTTGTTGAAGAATATTTAATTCCCCCGTGTAGCAGTAAAATGAACAAGGGCCAACTAATTTACAGATTCATTTTTTAATTATCAACTTTCGGACTTCTACCTTTGGAGATAATCTAACCTATTTTACCGCATATATCAACAAGCTAAATCAGAGGTATGAGTTTTCGGGGCTTTCTTCAAATCTTCGATCTTTAAATATGAAAAATATATCTCTTCTATCGTCTAGGTTGTGCGTTTATATAACTTCCAGTTGCCCGATTGTCTTGTGTCTGTATAACTTCAGCTGGGTTCGCTTCCTTGTTTATGTAGGGGCATATCGCACTTGTTGGCTTTGAGGCCACCTTCTATGTGAACCGATGAGACGTTTAGGTGACAATGAATGACAGATGACAATGAATACAAAAATGATTTTTGTATCTCTTAGTACATATTGGAACCACCACAGATTAACTGTACTTATATCAAAGATTCAGATATCTGGTATTTCTTGTCATGAAGCACATACTTGCAAAACTCTTTTGTCCTTCTGATGTGACGCTGAATGTAAAACTTACTTTTTTCTTAGGGTAAATCCAATATATATCGAGATCCCCATTGATCAACTCTTCTCATAGCAAATTTTTCCTCTTTTTCATTTATTTCAATTCCAAACTAATTTCTCCTTGGAATTAATTTCACCTCGGAACTAATTTCACCTCGGAACTAATTTCAACTCGGAACTAATTTCAACTCGGAACTAATTTCAACACGGAATTAATTTCAACTCAGAACTAATTTCAACTGGGATTTAATTTCAGCTCGGAACTAATTTCAACTCGGAACTAATTTCAACTAGGAACTAATTTCAACTAGGATATAATTTCAACTCGTTTTAAAATCAAAGCTATCAACTTCCGTGAATTCCTAAACAAAATGCAAACAGTTGGTGTTAATTTCTTTTAATTTAGCATTAAAAATCTTTAGTAGATAATTTAGAATTCATCTTTTCTTAAACTTTCAATCTTTTTTGTTGCAAATGAATGAAGTAGTTGAAAATAGTTCAGAGTTGAAATTAATTCCGAGATGAAATTAGTACTTTGGGTAAGGTATGAACTCAAACGTTTCTCCATTTTCTTAAAACCAAGTAGGTCAGTACAACACGCTGCATTTTACTTCTAGAGAGAACAATAGCGTCCAAGTAACACTATCAGTCAAAATAGTAAGCAGACGATCTTCTGTGTGGGGTCATTTGAAATGAAATTAATGAATGATGAGGGAGTGAAAATAGACACAGAATATCTGCCCAACGTTAGATAAATAAAGTTGATAAATAGATAAAGAAAAGGAAGGTCGGTGGAGGAGGAGAATTTAAATAGAACCAAGAAAAAAACTCAATCGACGAGTTCTCAATCCGAAAAGTCAGCTTATTTTTTTTTCATCTAAAAACGCTGCATGACAAATCGTTGTTTACGAAATATTTTCATTAATTAAAAATTCAACGGAAAAACGTCTTCCGATATTTGCACATAACAAACACACACACAAACATACATACGTACATACATGTATATATATATATATATATATATATATATATATATATGTATATCTATGTATCAAATCAATCATAAAAGTAAAATATGTTTATATTTAATGATATTTGTAGTATGTGCGTGTGCTTATATATATATATATATATATATATATATATATATATAATAATGAAATATAGATTTAAGGTGTGCCATATTTGCGGGTTAATGTGGTCAATATCAGAGATAGAATGTATATAAATATAAAAGTGGACATTGAAGTCAACATCCAGAGTGTGTTTTGTGATAAAGTCAATCTTCAGGTATATATATATATATATATATATATATATATATGACAAACTGGAAAGGATTTTTTATGATGAGTTTCATCCGTTAGGATTTCATCGGACATATTTTTGTAAATACTGTTTGTTGATATACAAAATTATATACCGTTATATATATATATATATATATATATATATATATATATATATATATATATATATATATATATATTACTTCAAACGTTATCATATATATATATCATGGATCACTGTCTGGGGTCGTTTGAGGCATGAAACTGACACCAACCATGCAGTGTTAATTCTATATCCACACAAACAGTCTTACCTCATAAATATATCAAATTTTAATAACTTTTGCCATATGAATTTAATTTTAAATATATATATATATATATATATATATGTGTGTGTGTGTGTGTGTGTGTGTGTGTGTGTGTGTGTGTGTGTATATATATATATATATATATATATATATATATATATATATATATACTTTATAAATTCAATCTATGCCAAACATTGATATTTATCAAAAAGAGACGGCTAAATTAAGAGAGTGATCAATACTGATTGCCTTATGAAACCATTGTGTCTAGGAACAGTGGTAGCATAAAGGCTAGTGTTTCAAATATATATATATATATATATATATATATATATATATATATATATTCAT